TATAAATCTATCAAATAATTTGTAAAAATGATCCAATATTAAATCATCTATTTAATATTTAAATATTTTTTAAAACTATTTTCTCGAGGAATATAATAGTTATTTCTTAGCTTWTACATTTTTATTTCCGAGAAACTACGTGTTAAAATTTTTTATTTGGTTTAAATTTAGGGTTCTCATTTGAAAAAAGAACAGAGATGGTAATCACCACTGGATACCTACGGACTACGGTTTAAAGTTTAAGTCGTACAAGAAATCTTAATAGTTTAAAAATATGGTCTTTATAGACTTTTTATTGTATAGTTAAAAATTTCAAAAATCAGATTCTGAATAAATTTATTATTAAATGAAAAAATTGTTAGTAAACCAACCTGTATRAATCTAGACTATCAAATGAAAAATATTATTGATACACTAGTAGTACATTATTTAAATGTATTTACCACAAAATAAYATCATTTTAACAATGATTTTATTTTATTATTTACCTTCACTGTCAACAATGCTATCGCAAACATCTGGATACTAGGTAGTTTTAAAATGTCCCATAGTAGGCGATAGTTTTGAAAAGTGTTGAGCTTCATATGGTTATCTTCTAATGAACAATCCTTTTCTTTTTTGAATATAGCAATCAATGTTGTGATAAACATAAATACAACGCTCCAAACATATAATAATTCTATACAAATGTAATAATAACATATAATTTTGTGTAATTGAAATAAATTGAAATATAATGRCATTCTGCATCATTTCATATTATTAATTTATATATATATATATTTTTAATAACCCTACTATAATTTGAATTTTATGTCAAAAACGCAATCATAATCGAGAACATAATATCTAACATAAATATATTATGGTGCATAAATGCATAATTCATAGATATGTCTATTAAAATCTAAAAATAAAGATTCTGCGTTTCAACGTTAGGGTTATTTCTTAAGGATGAAAATGTAAACATTGATTTGATTTCTATGAAACGTCTTGATATTCTTAAAAAATCATGTATAGTTTCAGTGACTAATTGATAGATTTTTTAACAACTCACGTTCCATGGTAACTATTCCTTCTGTAGCAGGCGTAGTCCGTATGTATTTATTGCAAAAGTCTTTAGACGTTAATAGGGTGAACCAAACAGAACCTATCATCGAACCGGTCGCCAAGCCCGTTGTATTGCACATGGACGCGTATCCCACGTTGTTCCTGTGAAAATATATTAGAGGATCGATTAAAGGGTTAATTGGTTTTATACACACGTAAGAAACTAATGACACTTACTTTTTTAGCATTGTAAGTGCCCAACCGTCAACTATTATATCTTGCGTGGCCACCAGGAAAGTAGCAAAGAAAAATACGTACACCAGTTTCTCTATATTTGGTTTTCCGGTTTCGGGCAATAAGCTATTGATGTCGTTGGCTATGTAAAGGAAGAATGATCCTGTTCGAAAAAAGCAATATGGTTTTGTTAAAAGCGTAAGAAAAAAATGTTTGAAAAACTAGTGAATAGAACAATTTTTCTTACGTTGGTTGGAATTTATATTATTTTATCACTTAAATATACATAAAAAATTATTCAATTTACATACCCATTATATATTGCACTGGTATGAGCCAAGTCTTTCGTCTTCCTATTTTTTTTACGTATAGTGCATCTACTAAGGGAGCCCACAATAGTTTCAAAGTGTATGGCCACATCACTAGACTAAATACAGCCTATGAAGAAACACAACTAATTAATTTTAATGTATAAAGTATCGTAAAACAATATTAAAAATTCAGTTTAAAACAATTTTGGTTTTTAACTCGATTTACCTGATCTTGGTAAGAAACATTTTTATTACTTTGTAAAATTATCGGTATAGCACTAGTTAAGCCTAGTTGTAATCCTTGTAAAGTATACAGTAATAGTAATATGAAAATGTTCAACCAATCTCCTTTTAAATCGGGCTTGTTGGAAATCGAAACATCAGTTACCACATATTTGTTTGATTTATTTTCATGTTTTTTTGATGTAATCATGTCTAATGAACGTTATTCGCTTTAATTTAAAATAGGTATCTGAAAACGGTGAAAAAGTAACGTATTTGTATCGGTCAGTGCAGTTGACGTACTAAAGAAAAATGAATAAAGTATTTGGCTTATTATCTAATCATAATTTTCTAACCATATGATTAAAACTATTGTATTTCAGAAATATTTTCAACGTTTGTAAGGTAGCCACTGCYATATGCATAACTTAAACCATTCGAGATTGAGATATATAATGTTAGGTATTATGTACCTTGGAATATGCTGTACGATGACGCAGTACAATCTGCAGCAATCATCAAAAGTTATTTATTCGCATCATGTAGGTAGGTCATAGTACATATTTTATTTATTGTATATYKTATACATTAATTAAGTTTCATCAGTCATTAATAAAACGATGGTAGCATAGGAGTAGTATTGCTCAAACAGAGGCTGCTCTTTTGTCGTTTAGAAAAAGATATCATGTACCCGTACCTATACTTGAGTAGTAAATCAAAAATTTTAGT